TGAATCAATACAATATCTATTTAAAATATACTTATTATAATACCAAACTACTTTCATTTATTAAGTAATGAATCGTTCAATTTTGTATTTACTACTATTGGATTTTATAAGTAACATATTCAAATAATTAATAATCTTAAATTTCAATGAGTTTCACTCTGAACAAACTTAAATATTATTTTCAAGTTTATTATAACAATTAAGTCAATCAATTTACAAATTATTTAATTTGTGATATTTCAATGTATTAACAAATATATATTATGGCTGTTAGTTTGGTGTTGGACTAAGCAAAATAAAAAATAAATAATTAAAAATTATAAGAATTAAAAAACATTTATTATATATTTAAATATTGTTAGTTATTTTATGAATTTGTATCAAGAATAAAAAATTAATATAAAACAAAAAGTTAAGTATAAAATTGTACTATACACCTAAATATTCAACAGTCTTATTAGATTTTTTTTTAATAATGAATTTTACTTTAAGAGTAACAATTTTATTATTTTTGTCAATATATTTCTGACTTATAATAATTTTAATTTACATTTCAAAAAAATAATAAGTGTTACTCAAGTTATATTTTTGCTCATAAATAAAATAATAACTAAGTATGGTGTTATGAACTAAGTATCGGTCATGCTTGGTGTATCTGTGGAATTATTGTCAGATCCATCAAATTGCATTCTGCCCATTATAGAAGTTTCTGAAACTACTCTAGTTGATGGTCCACCAAAAGCAGTAATAAAAACGTTCAGAGCTGTTATTAAAAATATGCCTACAATAACATAATTGCCATATCTGAATGCCATTTTACGCTGCTCACAATTTGTTACATTATATCTAACACTCAACAAAAGTGCTATACCAACGAGAACCTTAAAAAAAAGAATACATATTTACTGTAATAACCAAATTTGCAATAAGCAGAAAATTGAACTTACTTGAAGAAGAATACTTGCAATGAGAAGTAAAATGCAAATGTAGTTTAATATGTTACCATCAACCTCAATCAAAAATCGTAACTGATTAGCATTGGCTGAAAATAGAGCTATGTCCATCATGCCTTGAGATAAAAGTTTTTTATTTCGGTATAAATTAAATGCTTTTGGTGTATCTTCATCGGTATCTTCAACAAACTAAAAATTACAAAAACCTTTAATAATTTTGTATAAAATTTTAACAGTCTCATAACAATTAAACAAATAAAATTGTTGTTTCTAATAAATATATTTTATATATCATAAATTGATTAGAGATTCTTAGCTAAACATTTTCAACATGAAGACAAGTCCAGAGCTCAAATTTTTTTTAAATTAAAGTATATTATATTGGCTTTCACTTAAGATATATATTTTATATCACTTTTTTATTATAAAAGTGTCAGTATTTCCAGAATAATTTCAAAAATTAAATTGAAAAAGTCCTAGTTCTATACGAATGTTTATAGTTTTGATCCCCCTTTGTATGAAAAAAATGGATCAATTTAAAAAAAAAGTATGTTTTATAAAAGGGGTATATAAAAAGTATTTATAAAAAAATAAAAAAAAACCAGTACACGGGGGTCGAGGCACAGTGGTGACGTGACATGAATAGTTGGATCAAGTATAATGATTTCTGACAGTGATTAAAATCACTATCAAAAAAAAAAAAAACGCTTTGATGAAAATTTTTAGATAGTGTTTAATTTTAAAAAACTGGATTATTCTAAAAGTTACATAATCCGCTAGTTCCTGATTAAGATCCTAATGTAAAGGGTCAGATTTATAAAAAAAAATATACCAAATGATAAGTAAAGACATCAAGCATCTATAAAAAAAAATTAACGATTTTTTAATTTGTAATTTGTTTGGACGTGTCTTCCCATTTACGTGTAACGAGGGAATTTTTTTCAATTTTTGAGGGTAAATTCTTCGACTAGATACAATTTGTGATCTTTTGACGTATCGTTGAAAGAAATCGGTTCGGTGAGAGCTTAGAAATGTGGTAACAGTCACAAAAAAAAAAAAACATCATAGTAAAATTAATACCTTCTCTGCTTCTCATCGAAGCTAAAATCTATTGATCCATACATTTTTCAAAAAATTATAGCAATATAAATTTAAAAATATAAAATCGAGAATGTTAACACATAAATAGCATATTTTTGAATACGATAGCAATTTTCAACATGAAGACAAAATAAAGTTTAATGAGGAAAAGTTTCCATCTTGAAACCCTTCTTGTAGGTAGGTAAAGGGTTAGATTTAAATATATATATATATATATATCAAACGATAGGTAAATTCCTAATATATTTTAAAATAAAAAATTCGTTTTGATCCATAAATTTTTAAAAAAGCTATAGCAGTTTTAAGTAAAAAAAGTTGAAAAAAAGTCAAAAATTACCGATTGAAATTGTAATTTTTTGTGGGATTTCACCCATATACAAGGAACGAGGTAAATTTTTTCAATTTTTGAGGGTAATGTCTTAGATTAGATACGATTTGTGATCTTTTAACATATGTTCACCAATACGGTCTAGTAAGAGCTGATAATAGTTGTAACAAACAAAAAAAAAAACAAATCACAGTAAAAGTTATACCTTCTTAGCTTCGCATTAAATTAAAATTAAAGGGCTTATTTTAAAATTAATTTAAATACTCATGAATTTTACAAAACGACTAAAAAAGTATACCATTTCGTCCATTATGTTTCTGTTTTCTTTTGGAGGTTTAGGTTTGTCTAACAATTGATCTTCAGCAGAAGGTAGTGGAGCAGTTGGCTGATTATTTTGCGGGTTAGAGTTATTGGAATTTGATTCAGAATTTGGTGTAGGATTGTTCCTCATTTCCATATCCTGACTATCATTAGGATTGAGGTCTCTGCGATTACGCACATGCGATATTTGATCTTGTCCAAAAGCTGATCTACTATTATATGGACTGCGACTTGCTGGTATTGGACTGCGACCAGTGTTTTGTGTAGTCGGATAGCCTCCGTAATGTTTTGGTTGTTCTAAGTACATATTATACATTAATTAGTTCATTAGATATCTCTCACTATTTTATAAGTATATTTATAATATTTTTAATCAATTTTTTTTAATAAAGCATGATAATATGTTCAAGGTGATTTTTAATCTTCTTGGTGCCTATACATTAATACGATAGTTTTAACATATTTTTCTTCGTTTCATCCTACACATAATTTTCAAACAATATCCCCACTTTTTGATGACTATAAGAAATCAAATGTGATTAAAATTTGTAAAATTGGGATAAAAATTGCCCTAGATTTTTTTATCAAAATAAGTAGTAAGTATTAATAACTTTCAAGACAACATTTTTTTTAAGTTTCTGTTTTATTACATTCTATTAATTAATGGGATTACTAATCAATAAAATACTATTAAAAATAGTATAAGAATAAACTTCTTTATATAAAGTAGTATAAACATGATTTTATTATGTAATATATTAATTTATATATAAACATTCTGAAGTATTAATGTAAAAACATTATATAAACTTTATCATCTTTATGTCATTACATAATAATTTAAATAAATTAGATAAATTAACATTATAGCATTAATTTATTTAATGAATGTTTAGTATATCATATTATACATATATAATGCTAACCTATACTTAAAATAATGACATAGATTTATGTTCAAAATATGATAACCAATTGAGAGTGTTCGGTAAAAACATCAAGTAGCTTAATGTGTTATTTTCACCCACTAAAAATCCTAACTTAAATACATTTGTTTAACGTTAGATATTATAGCAAAAAAAAACAAAATTCATAATTCAAAATTTTATAATATACATAAATATTTTTCTTTGTAGTATTGCCTTTGAGTAATTAAATCAGCAAAAGCTTTAAAATTTGTAATAGATTTTAGTTGATTAATAACTGATAAAAAAATAACAGAAACACGAAATTACTCACTCAAAGGCAGGACTACAACTTGACGGTAGCAACATGGCGATTGCCAAGGGTGAATTTCGGCTTTGCCTGTGTACAACCAATTAAAATAAATGTCATATTTTATTTACTAATTACTAAATAAAATGCATTATGAAATATAATGATAAGCATTTAGGTTTTTCATTTGCGTTATTTATTATATAAACATAAAACGAATTACTAAAACTCATAATGCATTTACTAATAAATATAAGTACGTACATGACGGTTTTAGTCCTTATCGCCTCTTTACAAGAATTATTATGGTGCCCCATAAAAAATTATAAATTGCTACTTTTTTTTTTTATTTAGCGTTCAAAAATAACGTTTTTAAGTCATAAAAATATCATTTTGTGACGAATTGCATTTTCTTTGCAAACATCGATCACAATTAATGCCAACACCGTCTAAGAAAACACTTAATATTTTCTTGTTATCCATTGCATAGATGAAAGTTTTTAAGAAATGACGTTAAACCTAAATATTACAAAGTATAGTTAAAATTTACATCTTGAATTTTGGTTTATTTTACTACATAAAAAGAAATTATTGATACTAATTAAAAAAACCCAGCGCAGTGGGGTGGCGGCACAGTGAGGTCGTGGCAGTTAGGTCCAGTATAGATGATATCTGACAGTGATTAAAATCACTATCATAAAAAACGCTTCGATGCAAATCTGTAGATAGTGTTTAATTAAAAAAAAAAAAAATTTGTTAAAATAGCGTATTTTTGAATATGGTAGCCATTTGCGCATAGAAGATAGGTCGTCGGGACAAATTTTTTTGTTTTATTTTATAGTACATAAAATAAGCTTTAATTTGATATATGTTTAAAGGACGCAGTATTTCCGGAACATTTTCAAAAATTCAGTTGAAAAAGTTATTTTTTGTAAAAAAGTTACTATTTTAAATCCCCCCAGTGAGCAGAATAAGTGTTAGATTTTCAAAAAAAATTATATCAAATAAAAGGGAAATATCTTAGGTATCAATATAAAAAAATATTATTTTTATTTGTTCATTTTTGAAAAAGTATTGGCAGTTTTAAGCACAAAAAACATCCCGATAAAAGGTAATTTTTATCGCAAACATTACATTTTTTTTTAATTTTCGACAGCCATTTGCACATAGAAGATAAGATGTCAGGACAAATTTTTTTTTTCATTTGATAGTATATAACATAACCTTTAATTTGATATATGTTTAAAGGACGCAGTATTTTCGGAACATTTTTAAAAGTTCAGTTGAAAAAGATCTATGTTTTTTACTTATTTTAAGTTTTTAACGCCCCCGATATCAGGGGGAAATTGTCCAATTTTAATAAAAAGTATGTCAAATGAAAGATATACTTATAATGTATTTAGAAAAAAAAATTTATGCTGATATATACATTTTTCAAAAATTTATAGCATTTTTAAGTTGAAAATTTAAAATCGAAAATCGAAAATTTTAACACAAAAATAGCATTTTTTGAACTACGGCAGCCGTTTAAATGTAGAAGAAAAAGTATAGGGATAAATTTTTTTTTTTCATTTGATAGTATATAACATAACCTTTAATTTGATATATGTTTGAAGGACGCAGTATTTCCGAAACATTTTCAAAAATTAAGTTGAAAAAGTTAATTTTTGTAAAAAAGTTGCTATTTTAAATCTCCCCTAATGAGCAGGTTAAGTGATAGATTTTCAAAATGATATCAAATAAAAGGTAAATATCTAAGGTTTTAGTAGAAAAAAAAATTATGTTAATTTGTTGATTTTTCAAAAAGTTATGGAAGTTTTAAGAAAAAAAGTGAAAAAATTTCGAAAATTAGCGATTTTTAAATTTGGTAATTTTTTTGGATATTTCCCCCATTTGCGGGGAACGAGGGAATTTTTTTCAATTTTTAAGGGTAATGTCTTCAACTAGATACGATTTGTGATCTTTTGACGTATTTTTGAAAGAAATCGGTCCAGTGAGAGCNCAATGTCTTCAACTAGATACGATTTTGATCTTTTAACGTATTTTTGAAAGAGTGAGAGCTGAGAAAAAGTGACAACAGACATAAAAAAATAAAAATAAAAAAACACATCATAGTAAAATTAATATCTTCTCCGCTTCGCATCGAAGCTAAAAAATAATTTATTTTTACTTTTTAGAGGTAATAAATACTGGTTTGCCAACAATTTTACTAATTGCAGTTAAAAAAACCCAGCACAGGGGGGTCACGGTACAGTGGGGACGTGGCTTAGTTGATATAATAATATCTGACAGTGATTAAAATCACTATCAAAAAAAACGCTTCGATAGTGCTTAATTTTAAAAAAATTGGTGTTTTATTCCAAAAGCTACTTGATCTGCTGGTTCCTTATTAATATCTCGATTAAGATAAAGTATGTCGAATGAAAAAGGGTTTATTAAAAAATATTATTTCTCATAAAAAAATTGTGTGGATCCATACACTTTTCAATAAGTTATAGCATTATAAAGTTAAANAAATATTATTTCTCATAAAAAAATGATGTTGAACCATACACTTTTCAATAAGTTATATCATTATAAAGTTAAAAATGTAAAAAATAAAATCGAGAATTTTCACACAATAATAGCATTCGGTGGCCATTTTCAACATGAAGACAAGTCGAGAGGTCAAATTTTTTTTTTCAAATTAAAGTACATTACATTAGCTTTAATTTAAGATATATATAAAAGTGTCAGTATTTCCGGAACATTTTCAAAAGTTAAGTTGAAAAAGTTGTCATTTTGAATCCTCCCCTATATGCAAGGATTAAATTTACAAAAAAAATATACCAAATGTTAGATAAAGACATCAAGCATCTATAAAAAAAAAAACTATATGTATATGTTCATTTTTGAAAAAGTTACGGCAATTTTTAAGGGTAATGTCTTTGACTAGATACGATTTGTGATCTTTTGACGTATCGTTGAAAGAAATCGGTTCGGCGAGAGCTGAGAAAAAGTGGTAACAGACACAAAAAAAATTTAAAAAAAAAACCCATTATAGTAAAAATAATACCTTCTCAGCTTCACATAGAAGCTAAAAACAAAGAAAATTAAATGTCGGTGCATTTTGTTTTTGTTCTTAACTATCGTGAAGCGGTATTTATAGATCATGTTATTATTTTTTACACTAAAAATATAATAACAGTACTGACATATATTTCATTACGTTAAAATATCTTAATTTATTCAAAAAAATCCGAATAAAAATAATAATAATATTGGAAATTAGGTTATTATTACATAATATAATATTTATTGTCTTAAATGTAAAAAGTTAAAACTTATTTTAGTTGCATAAAAGCAACATTTTTGGAAACGTATGCGCGTTGTAAAACGTATAATAAATAAGTATAATATATTCTTTATGTTAGTATAATAGTTTTATAATAGTTTAGAGATTTGGTAACAATATTATTGTAAAATGTTGAAAATTTTCCTTTTAAAGAATTGTTCCTAATAAATATTCGGCTCAGGTTTTTTATTCAGGAATAGTATGTTAAGAATTAATGTAATGCTACGATTTACTATAGCAAAAAAACATCACTTTCATATTATTGAAGTTATGCCAAGTTCTTGTTTAAAATTAAGTTATACGTAACACTATTAAATGTGTTTAAAAGAAATTAAATGAATCATACTTTTGGCTTTTCAAAAACATTTTTAATGTTAAATTTTTTATTTTTAAATAAAACAATTAAAACTTAAATAAATAAAGATGAAATTTGTAATTCGTCATGGAAGGATAATTATTTTATGTGGGTGGGAATTATCTCTCCATAATTACACCAGTGAAAATTTTCCTCAACTAGTAAATTAGCTCAGCGATATAATCAACAATTAGCATTAATAAACTATAAAGATCACGAAATAATTTTTAGGTCAGCCGGTTTGATTTATTCTATTTCAAAAATATATGCCCTTGGGATTGTACACCCTTATTTAAAAAACCAGGTGAACGTTTTGTGTTGAGGACTAGCATTCATTGTAGTAGAATTCGAACATTAGGCGCCACTAAAAAACACGTTGAGGTTACCCGGAGCTCATAAATACTGTCATGGCAAGCAGCTGACGCATTAACCATTTGGTCATAGTTCAAATAACGTGTAAATAGTAGCCATTTTATGAAAATAAACAACAGACTAGATAACAATATAATTGGAGCTTTATATTGTGTTTATTAATAATTTATTTATAAACATAATTGATAAATAAATTCTAATATATTATATTGGAAAATATCTTAATTAAGAACTTTTATTTATGAGATGAATAATTTTATTTTATTTCTATAGACCCGAGCAACTTTAAGTATAATATAGTTTTAAATATTTTATGTTTCTCTCAGATAACATTATGTTATGGACTTTACACAGAAATGTATAGGATCTGAATATAAGCGTACAGTTGACCATTTGTAAGGTATATTTCTACGGCGTTTAGGATTTTGAGATCTAAATTCTTACTGTGCCTTTATTTATTACATGAGTTCGGTTATACTTTTGATGACCGGTCGTGTCAATTTAAATACTTTACCATGGGAAAACGACTTCATATTAAAAAATTACACTCCAAATAGTAACATAATATTAATATAAATAAGACTTGACAGATAGTCATTTCAAATTAAATATTATTTATAAATTATAAAAATTTCGTACAACTGAGATGACTAATAAAAGAAATTACGAAAATCTATTACAAAATCTTTTACTATTTGGTTCGTTTTTAGTTATTTTGTAATTTAAATTATAAGAATAAAATATTTTATACAAATAATTGATTCCTACCTGTGGTAAGACGATTTCCTTGTGCATTGTAACTCATTATCGTTTATTATTTAAAAATTTATAATTGTGTTTGTATTAATAACTTAAATATATTTTTTATTTTAAATGTTTAGATTTTGTCAACATAAAGCAACGTAGAACTAACAACTTAGTGTTAGATGACCAGCAATGGACTGATCGTCCTTACTTAGTCATTACATTACACTCAGTATGGAATTACCGTGTTCAACAACCGACATATTCAGCAGTAGTTGGTTTCGCATGTCTGGCGCTTAGCTATGAGCACAGCTATATATTTTAAAGAGAGGGGAGCAGTATAAAAGATCAGATCTGATGAAGGGCATGTGGTTCTCAATATGAATAAACAAATACAGTGTGGGCAATGAACGAGTTATTTTGTTTCTACACAAGAATACATGTTACTGATATATACAACCAGTAGCGTGTTCAAAAGTTTTTAAATAGGGAGGGGGATATTATCAAAATATGCTATATCCATGAACACCTTTTTTTAAGTTATTACATTTTTTTCTCGTGCTTACGTAGTAATTATTTTGGTTTCTTGCCTTAGTAAACACTACCCTAGATATATTTAAAAGAATGCTAAAACCATATAAATGTAAATTTACAAATATCAATTCTTTGTCAAAACAATGCATTTTAAATGCAAATCAATAAAAAAAAATTAATGGAAAATTTATCAAGCCTATAAATGTAGTTTATTTATCAAATTATCAATTATTTGTTTCATATCGGAAGTAAACCACTTAGGAAAATATTTAAAAATATCAACTTCATTATGAGAATTTATTTTATTTCATTTTTTTAAAATTGTTATTATCATTATTATTTGGAAGTTAATTTAGTACAGTTCATTTAAATGACATAGTATTTTAGCTTTGATGTGAAATTGACAAGGTATTGAGTTTACTATAATATGTTTTTTTTATGTCTGTCGCCACTTTTTCTCAGCTCTCACCAGACAGATTTCTTTCACTCATACGTCAATAGATCACAAATCGTATTTAGTTAAAGAAATTGCTCTTAAAAATTGAAAAAAAAATTGCTCGTTCACTGTAAATGAAGGGAATCTCCAAAAAAATAACAATTTTTTAAATCGGTAAATTTTTACATTTTTTTTTCTTTAAAACTGCCTTTAAATGTTTTCACACTAAATATGACATGGGTAAGAATTTTTCCATGAAAATTATTAACATTCCTATGACCGGCTTTAATTCAAATAATAACACGAACAATACCTATTATTTAATAAGTAGTTTTATCTCTTTAGAGATAAAATTACTTATTCTAACTAAATTATAATATATTTATTACGAGTCAAGATTGATATTATACTAAGTATAAGATCCTTTAAATTTATAAACTTGGTATTAATACGATGATAAGAAATTTGATAAAGCAATAATCAAATAATTTGTGAAATAGTACACTGAATTGACTAACTTAAAATATTTTCTTATTCTCATACTTAATAGAATTAAAACTTATAACCTAAATCTAAATCTGTACACCAATCAAATACTTTCTTTTGTATTTAAATAGAATTTCATTACTGCAGATGCTTTTGGACTAATTTATTTATTCTGTGGTAGTAATTGTATTATTATTTAATTTAAAATTAAAAAATAATTAATATTTTTAATAAAATATAAAAGTATAAATTATTCAGATATAATATAGATCTAAAGCATAACTGTTATTAAAAAAATATATATATATTAACTAGATCATAAATTATTTAAGTTGTCAGTGAATGCTGGGCTACTCTGCATACTTAAAAAAATTTCAAGTTAAAATTTATACAGTCAATTCATCAGCATTCAATTATTCAACAAATTATGAATAAAATAATAAGAACAATATTGAACGAATTTGTATGATTCGTATGAAAAAAACTAATAAGTATATTTAAACGAATAAATAAAGCGAATGGACGAATTTATAATTATTTTAGTTGTTTACAATGTATTTCATCTGAAATATAACATTGATTCTAAATCTAATAGACTATAAACTTAAGCCTTCTGTAACAAAATAACAATAATAAATGGAAATTAACAAGTATGAAATAATTTTTTCAGAGGAAAACAATTTTGAATGATTATTGTCAAAATGTCATACATTGAATATAGTACAAAAAAATATTTTTTATTGTTAATCAGAGCTAAAATTAGGTATATAAAATAATGATAAATAGAGTGTTCAGTAAGTAAGGAATCAGGTCAGTTGTTACAAATAATAAGAACAATAAAAATCTGTTTCCTTACTTACTGAACACGCTCTATATTTTTACAATGAATTTACGCCGAGAAAATGTTGATAAAGAGAAAAACATCTACTTGATAAGTAACATTAACTCTTTTAAATAAAATTCACTATATTCAACAGTTTGCATTTTAAAATTTGATCACAACTAAGCGAGGTTATTTTGATAAAATTAAATTATTCAAATTTATTTTTAATTTTGTGGAGAAATTTAATCTGTTTAAGTAAAATGTCATAAGCTTTTATTCATTTTTTTCTTTAAAAATATATTAACAAGGTGTTGTGAAGTTTTTTTTTTATAATACATATACCACAATATATTTATAAATACATAAGAATCAATAATTCAATAAAAAGAATATTGAATGTAAAATAAAAACATTATATCTATCTATACAATTTTTAAAACTAATTATTTCATATCTTCACTCTAAACATAAAAATGGAAGACATGAAATATTCACATATATCACTTTATAGCCTTTTTTTTTAGCCTATAATAACATATAATTTTAAATAAATAATCACATTTTTATAAATAATTAATTTAAGATAGGCAAGATATGTTTTTGATTTTCCCATTAAACACCATTCACCATTTTATCATTTTTTGGTTCAATTGAGAGTACTCCAGTATTTTTTTCCTAAAAATGAATAATTATTATTAACTAATTGTAAGTTTTCAATACAATTACTCAAATATCATAAAAATAAAAATTTCTACCATATCACCAAGGCACGTCAATTTCCATCCACCTTCGCCGTCAAAGTGTAATATATGAGAGTGGAATTTCCTAGAAATATCACAATATTAAATTAAAATACCACATTATTTTTCAACATTTTTTTTTGATATATGAGGAAATCATTTTTAGATCAAAGCTGATTTATTAAAAAATGTTTTTCATTATTATTCCAAAAATTATGTAGCTTATTATAAATCACATATTTAAATAATAACTTATCATTTGAAATTCATAAAATTTATCTAAAAAAAATTTAAATAATATAAATGAAAAATGTGATTTTAAAATCAGTCAATGTTAAAAAAAAATATTCATATTTTTCTTTTGATGATTTTTATACAATATTTATTTCATCGAATTTGCTATCAGCAATTACATCAATAAATATCGGTAAACTTTGAAATAGATATTTGTTAAAAATACAAAGATAATTTTTAGAAATATGCCTTTTTTATTTACCATAATGAAGGTCTATGTGTAATAGTAAGTAAAGTGATTCCAGAATCCTTAGCTGATTGGTACATGTCACTTTCAACATCTATACTGACAGCACTAGTACATTCATCTAGTAAGGCGAAAGAAGGTCTAAAAATAGAATGACACAATAAGTATGGAGGATATCTAAAATTTTAAGTAATTCAATAATTATTACTTATGATAAAATATTCTAGCAAACGCCATTCTTTGTTTTTCTCCTCCTGATAAAACGTCCTTCCAATCAGCCATTGCATCCCAACCGCCTTCTCTTTGGATTAAATGGTAAAGATGTACTCGAGTTAAACAAGCTTCTAAGTCTTGTTCAGTGATCCCTTTCGCTAGCATATCTTGTAGTGTGTCTGGATAAATCACTTGTTCTTTTAATGTACCCATTGTCATGTAAGGTCTAAAATATAATTAAATATTAAATATTAAAATATATTATCGATAACATTTTTTATACCTTTGTGGAATATAGAACATGCATAAGTTTGGAGGCCTAATAAGTGTGCCAGCATATACAGGCCACAGACCACTCAGTACCCTAAATAACGATGATTTCCCACATCCATTAGGTCCAGTAATTAAAAGATGTTCACCAGGTTTTACAGTAAGTGTTAAACTAGGAACAACTACGTCACCATTTGGAGTTACTATTGGTACATCATACAATGATATACTTCCATCGGGACTATTTTTTATTACACCTAATAAACAAATTTAAGAATAATTTATCATTTTTTTCTACATTTTTATTTAAAATGTTAGATATACACTATTCAAACGATATGTATTTTTAATTAAAAAGTTTTATTTTGATTAGTTACCACTTATAACAATTTGTCCATCTTTGTTGTAATGTAATTTTGATAACATTTTCGGAACTTTGGAGTTAGAAAGACCATTTTTGCGATATTTACACTTGCTCATATCACTAAATACATCCAACATAGCTCCTACCCTGTATGTATATCCAGCTAATTCAACAACTTCCTATAATATAAAATTACATGAGTGTTTATTATTTATGCCAATCAGTNATTCAACAACTTCCTATAATATAAAATTACATGAGTGTTTATTATTTATGCCAATCAGTACACTGTCAGAAATGATCCAAAAATCATACGTCAGTATGGTATTTTTAATACACATAAGTAGTATAATTTGAACATATGGTATAGAAAATTCGGACACGAATATAAAAATTTTTTAAAACCATATATCCAAATTTCTCCTTGCATTGTATGCATTAATAACTTCCCACACACGTATGTGAATATTTTGACATTTTTTCAAAAGTTTAAATATAATCAATACAATTACTTTATATGAAGTCATTAATCTCTCAATAGCATCCGCTCCTGAAGCTAATAAATTTCTAGACGTAGTGAGGTACTGAGTCCTCTCACTCACTCCACCATCCAAAGAATTATTGAGTTCTAAAAATATTATAACGTTTATTTTTAAGTAAAATGATAATTTTGCAATGTGTTGAATAACAATAAT